CGACCCATTAACACAGGACCCTTAGTCTGGACTACATGGAGTGGCAATAGACATGATTGATCTAAGTATTCAACTTGCATGGTAAGGCAACCAACTGGAACGATCAGTTCACCAGTATAGGTCTTTAGTACGGTGGTTGTTTTCTCTAACTTCTTGTCGCGAAATCTTTCCAAGAACATGTCATATGGCAAAATGGACACGGCCGATCCTGTGTCTAGTTCCATGGATAGTGGTTGATTTTCAACTTTCACGTCAACCCATATGACATCACTGTTTGATTTGTTTACATTATGAACTTCTAGGTTATTCAACAAGTGTTCATACTCATCTGGTTCGGTCTCTATGGCATTGGTCGATTTTTGGTATCTTGATCTGGGCGAGGGTCTACCGGGCCCCTGGCTTTGTTGTGCCCGGCAAGCTCTTTGAATATGACCTCTCTTTCCACACTTGTGACAGACTTCTTTCTTAAATCTACACTCAGTTGCAACATGGGTATTAGCTCCACATCGATAACACACTACAGGGGAAGGTGGGCCCCTATCTGATCTATTCGAGGGTCTGTTCAGTGTCAGTTTGTCAAGACCAAGAGGTTTTTCTTCTCTACCCTTGCTGTGGATCTCTGTAGCATCTCGAGTGGCTGTTTCCATAGCAACTGCTATGTCAACAGCTTTGGAGAATTTTAATTTCGACTCTGCAAGGAGACGTTTCTGAATTTGCTGATTACTTAATCCACACACCAATCTGTCGCGCAAGGTTTCTTCCAAGTTACTTCCAAAATTGCAATGTGTGGTTAATTTCTTTAACTCAGCTATATAACTTAAAATGCTCTCCCCTTCTTGCTGATTTCTCTTATAAAAACGAAACCGTTCGGCTATTTCTAGTGGTTTAGGATTTAAATGCTTCTGTAATGTACTTACTATTTCATCAAAGTTCTTGTCTGCAGGCTTTTCTGGCAAAAGTAAATCCTTTAATAATGAATACGTTTTGCTTCCAATCAAACTCAGCAGAGTTGGCACTTGATGATTGTCGTCGACATCGTTTGCAGCGAAAAAATGTTGTACTCGTTCAACATACCTCTCCCAGCTTTCTTGGATTTCATCAAAAACATAAATTTTTCCAATCGTCGCCATTTCTGGACTTATAACAATCCCAAATTCGTCGCCACTGTCGTGTATTTAGATTATACTTATAGCAAAATATGAATAATACATAAGCATGGCCGATCTACATATCTAATGCGCATGTCCGTGCGTATGACCGCTGTCCGTCTATATAGATCTATATATCTAACACCATGCATGCATGCAGTTATGATGCACTGTACAGTCAGAAAATATGATTCGATGAAGCGAAGGGCATGACAATGTTGATCAAAGTCTCGAAAATAAGCCATAATTACAACATTGTTGAACACTTTTAAAAATAGAATATGAATTTAATAAACAGTTTAAAATAATCAACGACAAATGGACAACACTCGTTCCGTTGCCCTCAGGGCGACAGAGAAAAAACTTAAGTAATTTATATGTTTGTGTTGTTACTCTGAGTGTATATCCACACCGGGCAAGCTTGAAAAATATGCCCGGCCACGGTGGGAATCGAACCTACGACCTTTGGAATACTAGCCCAGTGCTCTGCCAACTGAGCTACGTGGTCAGGTCGGTTCGAGTACGCCGGTCAGGTCGGTTCGGCAAGTACAATTTGTTGCTGCGTGTCGAAAGAATATTTTTCAAACGTACTGCATGTTATCAATAAAGGCCCATTTCCACTCAGGAAAATTTTCCACAGAAAGAAAATTTTGTAAAATGTGGTTGGCCGACACAAATTTTACATTGGAAAAAATTGTAAAGTTGAAAATTTTCAACTATTAAAATGACATTTCCGGAAAATGTTCTGTCCGTGGAAATTTTTCTTGAGTGGAAATGGGCCTTAAAACGATCAAGAAAATAAATAGTTTTTAATCAGTTTACTTTTTATCGTCCTGTCGAAAAACCGCTGATTTGTAATAAATTTTTCTCACCCCTGCGATATAGCTGACGGCGAAAAAACGTTCACTCGTTTATTTATGTTTCTCAAAATAATGGACCTCGATTACACTTACGCTAGTATTTTGTGTTTTTAGTGGTACTGTATGAATAAAATTTCAATTTTGAAATGTTTTTAGCTATCTGTTGTCCATGAATGCGTTTCCTTGCTTTTGAATTAATTTACTGTAAGTTACACTGTGTTTTGTATTGTCTCTCTCTTATTCTAATCTCACGGTCTTCATTGTCATTCACAAACGGATTTCGACTACGTTCGTCTATATATAGCAGCAAACGACCTTTTAGTCAGTTAATATACGATCCAAATATTCGATACAATTATTAATTTGAAATTCAGACATATAATATTAGAATATAACGTTAATTTTATAGTACGTGAGCGTAATCAACGAGAAACATGTTTCTATAACTGTATATAGAAGCACTAAAAATTTCGCGACCCCATACGTGCTGCAACTGAAAGAAATGTGTGATATTACTAGTTTTGACAACAAGTTAGGGAACCACAAGACAAAAAGGGAATTCACAACTTAGAGAAGAACTTGGCTACTTTATACAAACAGCGATGTACAAATATCCGTCGAGTGATTCATTGGTCTATACTTCAAAGTTCTAGGGCACGATATAAGTGATAAAGAAATTAAGCATTCCTTTGCATGACACCATTGATTCAGATGGCAACGGTGAAATTTGTCGTGAAGATTTCAATTTTACTGTGGTGTGAAAGAGACAGAGCTATCGAATGCGTTTTACGGAAAATTGCTACCTTGTCGACTGTCAAACCGAATGGGAAGCCAATAGAACGGCATGACATCACATACTTAATTTTACATTACCTTTGGGTAACGTTCAGTTAAATAAACAGTGTAATAGCAACGCAATACGTTAAACCAAACTTTTTCCATAGAAAATACAAATCAACATTTGTACTAAATGATCTGTGTTAATAGTTCTTGAACAACATTACCATTGGGCATGCAAGCCGTTATTCATCCACCTACAGTAACATAATCTGATTAATATTTAACCAGGAAATCCTGGTTAAATTAACTAGACAATAGGTTAAAATAACCTCAAAAATTACCACCAATATTAAACTAACCCAAATAAGGTTATTTCTAGGATAACCATGCAGGGAATATTAATCCGAGTGTTTTGGAGTGCAGTAGATAAAAATCATATTGTTGAAATTTAAGAGGCTGTCTCTGTAAAAACCGCCCGCTCGAATTTCATTTCAAACATGATCTTCGCTAAAACTCTGGCAACTGGAAGGCTTTACCAAACATAAAATAAAAACAGTCTCGGTTTGGTTGAAAACGATTTTCCAGTCGCGCTGCAAATAACGAAATATTTTGCCCCTTCAAGGCATGTTGGGACGTCTCGAAAATTGAAAATTACGCATTTTTCATTGATCCGTAAAATATTATATTCGCGTCAACTAGCAATGAATTTTATATCATTTCACTCATGAAACTTTCTAGTTTTCTTGAAGAAGAGGAATTTTTACCTAATATTAGTTGTAAAGGAAAATTAAGCACAGTGTAAACCCTACTTATGACTATTAAATCAAAGAGTGGAAATGGCCTTGATTTAGATTCAATTTTTCAAACTTTGGGACCTTGTTAATCGCTCGGGCCTATTTTTCAAGGAAATATAGTCCTTTGTTGGCAAATATATGCAAAAAAACCTGTACGATTTCAGTATTTCAAAAGTTATGGCCGTTTGTATCAACACACATGCGTGTATTTGCGATGAGTCGTCATATTGTAAAATCACTCTATCTCGTGCAGATTCTAACTTAAATGCAACAATATACAGCTTAGCTCGTTACTAACTTAAGTTTATTTCCTTTTTAAGTCAATTTCCAATTCCTCACATGGCCGATCCCATCATTAAACACAATAGTACATGTCCTTCTCTTCCTCTTGATCTGTCCGACCTTGGTTGTTTCAGGTTGTTTCAGGTTGTTTCGAAACGTTACGTTGCTCACACTTCGCATATGTAAATATCCTTTCGAAACAGAATTTGTTCGAAAATGTTATGGAGCGATGAGTCGTCATATTGTAAAATCACTCAATATCGAGACATAAATACAACAATGTACAGCAGCTTCCCTGCTTTAGTCAAGATTAATTACAACTTGTGTCACGTGACCGAAATGTACAAGCTTTGCACCGCTAATTATAGAACTGATTTGTTTACGACCTTTTCGGTAAGCAGGATAAACATAGGTGTACGGGAGGAAAAAAATAGTGGGACGGACAATAGTTTGACCGATATTGAAGGAAATTTTCCTGGAAATTTGTCCGAGGGATGGGGGGAGACAAAATTTTCAAGACTTAATATGAAGACTTAGAATAACGAAATATAAAAAAGGCTTCACACGGCTTTTAAATACAGTCTGGCGGTAATGAGAATCAAAAAAATTATTTTATGTGGCCTACTGTAAGCTTTCCTTTCATCATTTGCCCGATTTTTAAGCCGAACTGCCAGGATTTTAAATAGAATCTGCCCGACAAAAAATATTTGGGGGGGGGCGGCAACTCCCAGTGGTACGCCTCTGAGAATAAATTAACAGGCCGTAGTCAGCAATTTACACGAATTACACCTATTCTGCATTGTATACTTGGTCTGCTGGCATTTTCTGCAATCTGCGATCTGCAAATATACTGATATTCTTAGCCTTTGGTAGAATATGCGAACGGTTAGCAGTTATCAAAGATAAATAAAAATAAATACAAATATAATATTAATACCAAACCCTTGTTAAATTTAATCATGAATATAACATGCATTCTGGCACTTACTTGACTTCGCCCACTTCAACTTTCCTTAGCAGTATAGACTTCATCTAACCCTCATTTTACTGTATATCAGAATAATCCCGACCCCCATAAACTATATAATAAACCTCTAACCCGGGTATTGAGGAAAGAAAGCCATAGATCGTAGCAACTGCCAGCAGACCAAGTATAAAATGCAGAATAGGTGTAATTCGTGTAAATTGCTGACTACGGCCTGTTAATTTATTCTCATAGTGTACCACTGGGGGTTGCCCCCCCCCCAATATTTTTTTTGTCGGGCAGATCAGTCTCTTTAAAATCCTGGCAGTTCGGCTTAAAAATCGGGCAAATGATGAAAGGAAAGCTTACAGTAGGCCACATAAAATAATTTTTTTGATTCTCATTACCGCCAGACTGTATTTTAAAAGCCGTGTGAAGCCTGTTTTATATTTCGTTATTCTAAGTCTTCATATTAAATCTTGAAAATTTTGTCTCCCCCCATCCCTCGGACAAATTTCCTGGAAAATTTCCTTCAATATCGGTCAAACTATTGTCCGTCCCACTATTTTTTTCCTCCCGTACACCTATGTTTATCCTGCTTACCGAAAAGGTCGTAAACAAAGTAGTTCTATAATTAGCGGTGCAAAGCTTGTACATTTCGGTCACGCGACACAAGTTATTAATCTTGACTATTAAAAGCTGGGAAGCTGCTGTACATTGTTGTATTTATGTCTCGATATTGAGTGATTTTACAATATGACGACTCATCGCTCCATAACATTTTCGAACAAATTCTGTTTCGAAAGGATATTTACATATGCGAAGTGTGAGCAATGTAACGTTTCGAAACAACCTGAAACAACCGAGGTCGGACAGATCAAGAGGAAGAGAAGGACATGTACTATTGTGTTTAATGATGGGATCGGCTATGTGAGGAATTGGAAATTGACTTAAAAAGGAAATAAACTTGAGTTAGTAACAAGGTAAGCTGTATATTGTTGCATTTAAGTTAGAATCTGCAGGAGATAGAATGATTTTACAATATGACGACTCATCGCAAATACACGGATGTGTGTTGATACAAACGGCCATAACTTTTGAAATACTGAAATCGTACAGGGTTTTTTGCATATATTTGTCAACAAAGGACTATACTTCCTTGAAAAATAGGCCCGAGCGATTGACAAGGTCCCAAAGTTTGAAAAATAGAATCTAAATCAAGGCCATTTCCACTCTTTCATTTATAGTCATAAGTAGGGTTTACACTATGCTTAATTTTTCCTTTACAACTAATATTAGGTA